TGCCTTGACCACCTGGACACGGAGGTGAAAGACAGCGCCGCGCTGGTGCACATGCGCAACGTTCGCAGCCTGCACATTCGCCCCAAGTTGTTGATGAAAGAGATTGACGTGAGCCCGCTCACTAACGTCGTTGACCTCCACATACAAGCCACCGCTACCGCCGTGTCGCCGATCGGCCTACACGCGCTGCGCAACTTGCAAACAGTGAACCTCTACACCTGCCGTCTCACAGACGACCATGCCCTGGTGTCGTCCCCGCCAGACAGGCCCCTGAAAAAGCTGGTTCTGCACGAGTGCACGGGCACCGCGGTTGTGCGCAACGTCGTGTCGTTCATCATGATTCGTGGTGGTGTTCGCCTCACCCAACTCTCGGACGTTACCAGGGTCAGGATTGACACGCTCAAGCCCCTGCGTGTGCTGTCCACGCACAATGTGCGCACGTGTCGCGTTGACTGCACCAGCGTGGCACCCGATGCCGACTTTTCTGGAGTGCATCGCCTCTTCTTCTGCGATTGCGTGTTTCCCACAACGACAACACCCATCACGCGTGGTGATGGTGGTGGGTATGGGCATGAAGGTGGCGGCTGCGTGCGCTTTGAGGACTGCACAACCGATGATGACCAGCGCATGCCTGAGCGCACGCGCTCGTATTAGGGCTGGTGTGTGTGTGTGTGTGTGTGTGTGTGTGTGTGTGTGTGTGTGTGTGTGTGTGTGTGTGTGTGTGTGTGTGTGTGTGCGTGTATGAAACTCGGTGTGTGCGTGTATGAAACTCGGTGTGTGTGAAACTCGGTGTGTAAATCGCGGCGTGAGCACGTGTGCATGTGGCAATGTTAACGGGCTTGTTACATGAAATACACGAACATGCCACTGTGTATACTCTGGTGCAGTCCGCAAGCTGGGCGAAGATGAGCGTTGAAGCGAGAGGAAACACAGTTCGACGACACGCTGCTGAGAAAGATTGTCAATCACGTTGGATTTGTTGACGGGTGTGTTATTGTGTACCAGTACACCAGGGTAGAGCACAGACAACGCGCGAGGGCATCGAGACAGTGAAGATGTACTCAGGAGCTCGTAAGAGTCCAAGCAACGCAGAACACACAGGCAACGCCGGAGCAGCCAAAGCAAGACAACGCGAATCGTTGATTAACACCCAGGGTCGATGACCAGCACGGTTTCAGCGTCGCGTGGAATACCGTATATTAGGCCGTTGCCAATCACCACTCCGTCGCGCCACTTGCGCGGTTCTGCTGCGCCGCTAACTTCGATGGGCTTCGTGCTGGTGGTGTTTGCCACAGGGTCGATGACGAGAATGGAGGCGGAGTTGTGCGGGATGCCGATGATGTTGCCGTTGGGTGCGAGCACGCCGCCAACCCAGTCGTCTACGCCGGCATGATCCGCAACAGCAAGCAGGGTCGTCACGTTGGACGCTGGGTCGACGACAAGGACGCTTGTCGCGCGGCTTGGAATGGCGTACAAGAGGCCGTTGCCGGCGAGCACACCGCCAAACCACTTGAAGGGAGCAGATCCCAAGCCCGCGAGTGTCGTGGTGTCCGCCGTGAGGGAGACAGGGTCGATGATGAGAACAGAGCTTGAGGTGTCTGGAATGCCGTAGATGAGGCCGTTGGGTGCCTGAACACCGCCGTACCACTTGTTGCTGTCAGAGGCAAGCCCAGACAAAGTGGTGTTGTCGGCTGCGTTTGTGGTTGGATCGATGATCAGCACGGCTGTGGCTGATGACGGGATGCCGACTATGAAACCGTTATGAGCAGCCACGCCAGTGAGCCACTTAAAGTCGCGCATGCCCAGGAAATCGATGCTCGTAACATCGGTTGTGTTGCTGCTGGGGTCAACAATCAGCACTGACGGCCGTGCAGCGGGAAACATGTAGATGAGGCCGGTGTGTGCCAACACGGCGCCGGCCCACTTGTACATGTCAGAGCCGAGCCCGGAGATGGACGTTGTGTCGACCGTGTTGGTAACTGGGTCGATGATGAGCACCGACGGGGCGTTGTACGGCGTCGCATAGATCAAGCCGTTGCTGGCAAGCACACCGCCACGCCACTTGTCTGATGACGCGCCAAGGTCTCCAAACGTGCTGGCACTTGCGTGACACACCTCAGCTCTCAGCGCGTCGATCCTTGCTTGGTTCAAGCTGATCGTGTCCTGCTGCATGGCAATCGTGCTCTGCTGCGCCTGTACGTTTTGCTGGTACACCTGCAGCATGCTCTGCTGTGCAGCCACTGTCTCGAAGAGCGCATCCACGTTCATCCCGTTGACCAAAACGGGCTGGCTCGCTGGATCGCTCGTGTTGATGTGCAATGCGCCCTCATCATCCTCCACAAACACCACTTCTCCCCAGCTCATTGGTTCTGCGAGCAGGACGAGAAGGAGGAGGAAGAGGATGGTGGGCAGAGTGGGCAGGAAGCGGGGGAGGGAGGGAAAGGCTGCTGTGGTTGTTGTTGGTGTAGTTGTGGTTGTTGTTGTTGCGCTTGTGGTTGGTGTGCGTCTCATGTCGCTGAGCATCTCGTCTGCCGTGCTGTGCTGCTCGCTTCTTGCTTGCTTGCTTGTCTTGTTGTGGTTTGTGCACAAGCAGAGAAAAAGCACCAAGCAAAATCGCACCAGCCACTGCTTCTTCTGTAGGTTTTGCTTGCAGCCAGCTCAAGAAGACACGCACACTCCTTCCTTCATTCCTTCAGGTACTGCGTGTTGCCTGTTGCCTGTTGCAGAAGAGAGGAGGGGGATGAAGCACACCTTCCCTTCGTTCCTTAGGTAGTCGCTGTTACTGCTGCGTGCAGCTTCGCCACTCCACTCTCCTCGCTTCCACCACACAGTCCACTGCTCCCAGTGAGAGATCACATCACATCACTGTCCTTCTGTCCTTCCGCAAGTTCCGCAGGCTTCATTGTTGCTGTGTCGTCCACACACGACCAGACGAGACACCGCGTGTCGTCGACCAACCAGCTTTCCTTAGCTGAGGCAAGGAGGACACGGGAGAGGCAGAGACCCCTTCCTTCGCTGCACCGCCAGCTGATTGTAGTGGGGGTTGGGATGGGGTTTGATGTCAGCAAGAGCAAGAGCAGCACACGCTATTGCGTGTTCGCGTGCCACGTACACTTGGCTTGCTGTGACACAGTGGAAGAGGCAGAGGAACCACTCTGATTCCATTTACGCGTGGAGGATAGGGGGATAGCACTCATCGCAAGACCTCACCCCGACGTTCACCGAGACACACCTCTCCCTCGCTGGCATTCCACTGCGCACCTGAGCACGCGTGCATGGATGCACGCATGGATGCACGAGCATCCACTCTCCCTCTTTCCACTCATTGAGCAGCCAGACCAAGGCACCAGCCAGCAACGCGTGTGTGTTTTGATGTGAGGAAGTGAGGATGGTGTCTTCTCCTTGGGTCGTGTGCATGAGGTGTCTGGTTTGCTCACATGATGCATTCCAGCATGGTGTGTGTGTGTATGTATGCGGTGGCTTGATGTGCATCACGCTCACGTTGTTGTCCCGTTTCCTGCCACGCTCCTAGCTGCTGCAGGTTGGCCTGCACCTGGCTGTGCGACTGGCGTTTGGCCGTGACCTCTCGCGTGTTCCCCCGCTGGGCTCAACCGCACGAGCAACGGTTCCACTGTGTTGATACCCGTGTCCAAGTTGTGGATGACATGGACTGCAGCTGCTTTGCTCGTGTACTGATGACTGACTCAAAGAGTGATTGCATTGGTGTCCTTGAAGAGGTGGCATTCGTTCGGCATAAACGCGTGCATCATCGTAGTGGCACGGCTTTTCAAACTGCGTGGATGCGAGAGTGTGTGAAGGGGTTCACGTCAAGCTCTTTGAGTGTTGCAGTGATGCAGTTGACACTGTTCTTGTTGTTTTGACAATCGAGCCGGGGTCAATGTATGTATGTACAGTTGAAGAACAATGAACAGCGTCGATACGCAGGGTACACGGAGAGAGACAGAAGAAGGAACACAGAGGCTGACAGAAGCAGCAGGGTGGAAGACTGAAAGAGCCAAGGCGGTGCAGGAAGGGTGCGAGCAGGAAAGCATGTGCGCACACGTGCACAGACGGGCAGACAAACAGGCAGGCAGACAGGCAGACACAAAGACACGTGTACATATGCACACACAAGCGCATGCAAGCATCTCAGCACCCAGGGTCAATCACAAGGACCGACTCTGCAGAATGTGGAATGGCGTAGATGAGGTCATTTGGTGCAAGCACGCCATCCCACCACTTGTTGTTGCCGCTAAGATTGTTGATGGTCGTGGTGTCGGTGGTGTTAGTGGTTGGATCCAAGATGAGGACTGATTGCGAGCCATTTGGGATGCCGACGATTTTGCCGTTGGGTGCGAGCACACCACCAACCCACTTTCGAAAGCTTGTTGCTTCGGCGATGACAAGCTCGTCGGTTGCGTTGGTGGCTGGGTTGATGACGAGTGTCGTCTCAACAGCACCTGGGATGGCGTAGATGAGGTCATTGCTTGCCAGCACGCCGCCATACCACTTAGCGTTTGTTTCCAGACCACTGATGGCGGTGAGGTCCATCGCGAAGGTCTCTGGATTGATGATGAGGACGGAAGGAGCCGTCAAGGGAATGCAGTAGATAAGGCTGTTGTCCGCTTGCACACCGCCGTACCATTTGTATTGCTGGCTCGACAGCCCGGACAGCGTGGTGGTGTCGGCTGTGTTTGTCTCGGGGTCGATGATCAGCACGGAGGTTGCAGAAAATGGGATGCCGAAGATGATGCCGTTGGCGGCCACCACACCACTGTACCACTTGCGCTCACCTGACCCAAGTGAGTGGATACTCGATGTATCAGTGGTGTTGGTGTCTGGGTCGATGATGAGCATTGTCTCCCTGTTCGAAGGGAACATATAGATGAAGCCGTTGTGCGCCAGGACAGCACCACTCCACTTCGCTGAGTCCGTGTTGAGTCCAGAGATTGTGGTTGTGTCGACGATGTTGGTGCTTGGGTCAATGATGAGGACGGAAGGGGAGTTGTACGGCGCAGCATAGATCAGGCCGTTGTTCGCCAGCACACCCCCAAGCCATTTGCTTCCTGCTGAGCCGAGCTGGCCAAACGTGCTGGCGCTGGGAGTGCACACTTTGCTGCCAAAGACACGATCAATGGTGCTCTGATGCTCTGCTGCTCCGACACGGTACTCATCAACATGCTGAGGGTCTCGTGCACGTTCATCCCGTTCACAAACACCGGTTGGCTCATGGGGTCGCTTGTGTTGATGTGAAACGCGCCCGCATCATCCTCCACCAGCGTCACCTCCCCAACAACGCTGCTGATGAGGAGCGGCATCCAGCACACTGCCGCCGCCACCAGCAGCACGGGGAGCAGCAACATCCCACGTGCCTGCAGGCACCCCATCGTTCTCATCGGTGCCATCATACTCCGAGTGGGTGAAGAAGAGAGAAGAGGAGAAGGAGAAGAGGAGAGAACAGAAGTAGAAGTTAAGTGTGCCTTCCTCCTTCCTCGTTCGCGTGTCTGTTCGCAGGACAGGCGCAGCACCAAGAGAAGAGAAGACAGGATTGGTTCGTTTGTTGTTTGTGGCGTTTTGGCTGGTTGTTGTGGTTGTGGACGATTGTTGGGAATCGTGCAATGGATTTCCAGCCACACACAAGCAAGCAAGTTCACTGTTGTGTGTGTGTTGTTGTTGTTGGGGGAAGGAAGCACGTTGAAACGCATCCCTCCATCCATCCATCCAGCCTTCCTTCCTTCCTTCCCTCAGCCTTCCTTCATCAGCTCATCACTGCGCCAACAAGGACAGAGCACACACGGCACACGATGTGCGGTGTCTTGCTGCGTTGTACGCTCCAGCTTCATCACGCAGTGCAAAAGAAGGGCGTGAGTTGAACTCATGTCAAGGAGGCGGACATGTGTGACCAAAGAATACCCTGCTCATCCACAGGTGCGTGCGTGTGTGAGTGTTTGAGGTCATTCCATTACATTGCATTGCATTGCATTGCTCAGCCTTGTGTGCTCAACACACGTAAGCGCATATGCACACATACATCACACGTTGTTCCAATGACACGTGCTCACGCGCCGTCTTCCTCTCCTCCATCACCTCAGCTGTGCACCTCACCTCCTCTCGTGTCTGACATCGTGTCTGACATCGTGTCGCTCTCCTCCTCCTCCCACCACCATCTTGTCCACCCTGCCTCTTTCCCCTGTGAACGCAGTGTCCCCACAGCCAAGGACGCACACAGGTGCACCTGATGCACGCACGTGATGCAGCTGCCCCTCTCTGTCCAACACACTCCCCAGCCACTGCTGCCGGTACCATCAGAAGTGTGTCCTTCCTCCTTCCCGTCTGGTTGGCACCAGCATGCATGCGCGCAGCGCCACCTTCACTTCACCAACACGGCGTGCTCCTCACCAAGGCAGCTGCAAGCATGCGTGATGTTCAGCTGTCCTTGCCAGACCGTGGATGGACGAGCAGAAGAACAACGTGAACCTGCTGCTGCTGCATGTGGCCACTTGGCTCCACGACGACGACCACAACAGCAACAACCATGGCGTCTCCTCAGGCAAAGTCCACCGTGGCATGTGGCTCGTGTGCCCAGGGCAATGCGGCCATCCTAAGCGACAGCAGCAGTGTGTCGGGCCAACGGTGATCAAGACCACACCCATGATCGAAGACAAAACGGTTGCTGTCGAACATCTTGCAGAGATGTCATCAGGCGAGCTGGCAGACATTGTCCGCGACGGGCGGGTACTCCGTTGAAATCGGCTCACCGCCACAGCAGCGTGAGCAGGAGCAGGCTGTTGATGGGGTGTCAACCTCCTCCACTTCATCTTCGAGCACACCCGACAAGAAGGAATCGGCGCCTTCCGACAACCACCAAGATGCTGTTGCCGACACTCTTCGGAAAGCCATCACCCCACCCCAGCACAGCATCAGCTCCCCACGCCTCTGGAGTGCGTGTGAGTGTGTGTATGTGTGTGTGTGTGTGCGTGCACTGTGTGTGCGTGCGTGCGTGTGTGTGTGTGTGTGCTGTGTTTGTGTGTATGTGTTTGTGCCGTTGGGTGCACCCCACTTCGGCACCTCCTCACTTCCACTTTCCACTTTCGCTGATGCGGTCGCGCTGCACTACAGGCATGTCGTGCGCCTCGTGCGTGCCCAACATTTAGGGCGCATGCCCCGGTGTGCACAGCATTGTGCCGTGTGGGCCTGCTCACTGGCACCGCGCCGGTGAAGCCCTGCAGCCATCATTGCCAGCATCGGCGAGGTGGGCGGATACAAAGGCCCACAAAGAATCCCACACACTTAAAGACACCACGTACCTCAGCATAAGGTATGCGATGTGTGCAGCACTGCATCTCTGCTTGTTCTCTTTTGCTTGCATGCACGCGCGGTTGCTTGTATGCACGCATGCCCACTTTCCACTTCAACCTCTCATCATGCTGCTGCCGCTGCTGCTGTTGTTGGACATTCATGACAGGCGACGCTGAGGGCTCTGCCTATTGGTCGCCGCTAATCCATGTGTGTGTGTGTGTGTGTGTGTGTGTGTGTGTGTGTGTGTGTGTGTGTGTGTGTGTGTGTGTGTGTGTGTGTGTGTGTGTGTGTGTGTGTGTGTTTGCACTTGTACGTGTCGCTTCGTCTTGCTTCTCCACTCCCTCCTCCAACCGAATCCCTCCAACTGACTCTGTGTCTGCCCTTGCTGCCGCGCCGTGCCACCCACCACCACTTGCTCACAAGAATGCACTGTGTTATGCACCTCACACAACACCCATTTGTGACTGCAGCGCGCTGAAGGATGCTGGGGCACGCGGCGGAGCTGGAACACGAAACACCACCACCCACAGGAGCGAGATCCGCTTCTGGCTTGTTACTTTCATCGTTTGCGCCGTGTTTCTTCGTCGCGTCCACCATCGTGGCCGTGTGTGGCCAGACTCCTGGGATGCGCGCATGATTGACGGCATGTCGCAACGCATAACCTCATCCTCTTGCTGCTGGGCCTGGTCTCCTTCATTTCCCGGTCGGCCATTTCTCGTCTCCGCGGTGCAGTCCACCACGCATGACACTGCCAACATGAATGTGGTGTGTGTGTGTGTGTGTGTGTGTGTGTGTGTGTGTGTGTGTGTGTGTGTGTGTGTGTGTGTGTGTGTGTGTGTGTGTGTGTGTGTGCGTGTGTGAGTGTGCTTGTATGTGTGTGGTTTGTTGCGACCACTTCCGCGCGTTCTCTTCACGTCCACCACTGCAGTGAACAAGACAGCGTTACACGTGCCTTCTTTGCTAGCGTGTCGCGTGCACACGTGTCGCTGATCCACACGCACTTGCGCTTGCGTTGTTTGAAACCCACCACAGGGCTGCTTACCTGTACTCCCTGGAGGTGCTCATTGCTGCACCCGCCTCCCACGAAGGCTCTGACTGGTGGTGGCGGTGGCGACTTCTTCTTTGGAGACCGGCATTCTCCCTCTTGACCTTTGTATCGCTCGGGCGTACATCGAACACCTCGCCAAAGGCAACATCTCCAGCCTGCCGAAGGAAGGTATAGTCAAGGCAACCGCGTGGAGGAGCGAATTGACATCGAGCTCGTGCAGCGCGGCGACAAACTGAAGGTGCGTGATGAGGGGCTGGGTGTTGGAGTTGGTGGTGGTGCTTATATGTGGTGGTGGGTGATGGGCGGGTGGTTGGTTGTAGCAGCAGCAACAGCAGTAGTGTGGCAGTTCAGGTGCGGTTGTAGCAGCAGCCCGATAACGCACTGTCGTTACATCTGGCTCACCTTTCCTCACGTTCTTGTTGGCAGATGGTGGCTGGTGACAAAGTGCCTGTGAAATGGATGCACGCGTGCTGGAGGGTGCAGGTCAAATGGTCGAGGCCATGATCACGGGGCGAATCAACCCTCGTCTTGTCTCCAAAGGCGTTATTGTCGTATGGGCGGCACCATGGTATGTTGTCTTTGAGGCTACACACGTTGGCAGTGAGGATGCTCAGCTGTCAAAGGCGCCCATCCAGCAGAGGTGTGTGTGGTGGAAACAACACGCCATATCCTCCCTTTCACACGTGCCTGTCAATGTTTCTGCAGACATTCCCACTCACACACATACCCGCACACCCTCCCCTTTCCTTTCCCTCCTTTTTCTTTCCCAGACAAGCTGGCGGGGCGCTTTGTGTCAAGCATCGTGCTGCTGTTGGTGTGTGGGTTGCGCTGCTGACCTCGGGTGCCACTGACACATTGGAGCTCACGTCCGACGAAAGCGGCTTTCAACTGGTGTGTGTGTGTGTGTCTATGTGTGTGTGTGTGTGTGTGTGTGTGTGTGTGTGTCGTGCTTCGTGCAGTTGCTCGCGAGTCGTGGTTAGAGAACACTCACACACTCACTCACTCACTCACACCTTCATGCCCACACACACTCACACACACACTCCACCCCCGCCCCCCCCCCCTCCTCACAGGCCGTGCTTGACAAGACGGGCACGCTGACGGTTGGATCGCGAACAGTCACGTGCGTGCGCGTGCTCGGCGATGATGACACGTGGACGGAGGACGGCACCCCGTCGAAGCTGGTGGCGGCTGAAGAGGCAAACAGCGAACATGCCCCTGGGCCAGGCGATTGTGGCGCACGTCGGCGCTGTCTCCTGCGACGGACTTCAAGACGGTCTCTGCTTGGGGCATCTCAGCAACCGTAGACAGCATGCCCATTGTCATTGGCATGCCCACTGTCATTGGCATGCACATTGTGGTGCTGGCAAATCCCACGCCATCAGCGGCAAATAGCGGCAGACGACGCACGAAGACGACGAGACGCGTGGCTACACGGTTGTTACGTGCTCGGCAGACGGCAACCTCCTACCCTGGCTACTTTGGGTCTCGCTGACACGTGCAAGCCCTAAAGGTGAAGAGGGCGGTGCGCCTGCTGCACCCGCACGGCTTGCGCCTGGCCATGCTCACATGGGCGACAAGGAGGGCATGGCGCGGTCCATTGGGGGCAGAGGTTGGCATCGACAACGTGCTCGCAGCAGCGTGCAGGAGCTGGAGGCAAAAGGGCGAGGTGGTGATGATGGTTGGCGACGGCATCAACATTGAGTCAGCGGACGTCGTTCTGATGATCAAGGACAACCTGCTGGATGTGTTTTTCTGGCCACACACCTGTTGCATGCGACCGTGCTCCGCATCCACTACAACGTTCATCTGGGTGTGGTGTGCAACGCCGCCGACGTGTGCAGATGGTGGATGCTGCGACGCGTGCGCTGCTGTTGTCTCTTTGAGCAACTCCGCTGACGTTTGTGGCTTCGCGGCTTTGCGGCCGCAGCCATCCACTGGTCGTGGCCAGTGGCCACCTAACCAGCAACCCCAACGATGAGTGCACACTATCCGCCAAATCACCAGTGTCCACGTCTCGGAGATCCAATCCATCGCAACAGCCACCACTTCGTCACCTTCTTCTGTGGTCCTGTGGCATCATTTTGATGAGGGCGATGGCTTCATCGGCACCATCAGCGTGTCTGCGAGTAGAGAGCAGCACCTGCTTGTGCCGGAGGCCGGTAGTTTTGGCCGTGTACAGCCTGACCTCCTCCTCGTCGCTGTACGTGTCCCTGATTCACAGCCCCCTTGTAACAGTGTGCTCGTGCTCGCTGCCAGGTACCGTGGCGCAAAGTGTTTGGAACGTGGACAAGCCCTGCCGTGTGGCCGCTCTGCTGCCCTCCGTTTGGTGGTCAGCACGATCGATCAGAGGCAACAGCGGGGGTGTGCACCAGCCCTGCGATGGTGAGCGTGTCCTGACCACGTACACCCTGGAGCAGTGGAACATGACAAGTGTTGCCGTTGTGCTGTAGAGCATGCGAGGCTGGCAGCCCTCACACAGCACAACGCCGGCCAGTACAGCTTTGAATCAGCCACTTGGACACGTGACGCCAAGCACGTTCTCCTGTATGGCCGAGCTTTGCGGTGCCGGCTGCGTAATGTGTGCTCAGCTTCAACACGAGCAACACCACGGCCGTCGCAATCCGCCCTGTTGGCCATCAAGGCGCGATGCCTGGAGCCATCGTCCTTGTCACCCACCTCCCGTTCAATTGACTGTGGCAGCGTTGCTGAGCTGCAGCGAGCCGTGCGCATGTTCCCTGCCACCGTGAGCACTGCCGTGGAGGATGCCGAGACAGACACGCCGCTGTCTCTGTTGTTGTTTGCGCGCAGCAAGGCCAGCCACGCCCGCACTCTGTGCCATCTTCAGCACCTCCACCAGTGTGTCCTGGCTCGACTGCAACATGGTGCAGTGTGTCGTGGACAAGGTGTGTGAGGCCATCAGGGCCTTCTTCAACCTCGGAGGGTAACAAGCCCTGGCAGGGAAGCCCTGGTCACTGCGCGCGTCGTTCCTGACGCACACCCTCGTAGCAGACATCATTCTGCTGGTGTGCACGTTTCAAAGTGGGCTTGCGCTTGCGACCTCCACCGCCGACAAGCAGTACAGCCACCAGCAGCGAGCATGATTGTCTCACTGAGTCGGACAGGACATTCATCAGCGAAATGAGCAGCCGCGCGTGTCGGCACAACCTGCTGAAGTTGTCTGGTGAGCTGGCCAAGCTTGAGGACGCTGGGGCGCGCGTGGTGCCACTTGGCGCGTGCAGCTGGGTTTGTGAATGACGACACTGGTGGACAAGGGTGATGCTGAGCTGTTTGGCAGCTTCATTGTTCGCGTTAGCAGTGGCGTGGTACATGCTCACCGTCGCCCTCGTCAGTGGCAAGGACGCGGCCCAGCTGCTGCTGGGAGTTGGTGACAACAAGTCGGTGGTGATCATGCTGCTGCTGGGTGCAGCCGACAACGAGCCAGTGGTGATCATCCTGGCGCTGGGTGAGCCGGCTGGTTGTGGACATGGTGCAGGAGGTGCGGCAGTCACGGCTTGTTGGACGTGATGGATGCGGCGTTAGTGTTTGCGGTGCGTGGCACGTACTCCTTCCCAGCACGCTCCCACGTTCCTTCCTCTGCTGTACCACCTGCGGTGCTGCCTGCAGCCGTTCCAGCCAGCGCATGATTCTGGCCCATCTGCTTCGACATGCGCCACTTCCTGCTCTGCTCGTCCTCGGCATCAGCAATTTGGCTGGGTGGACGTCGTTCCGGTTGCTGCTGCTGCTCAACGACAACACGTTGTCGGCCAACGGGCTTGCTGCTCATGTTCAACAATGTGCTGCTGTGGATACCTTTGACGGCGGCTACATTGGTGGTGCTGGCTGCTGCGCATCCTGCATGTCATCTCCATGGTGCTGAACCGGCTGATTGCGCTCATGTTGGACCGCGCAGATATTGAGTTCCAGCTGCTACGTGGTTCATGCATGAGGAGGAGGAGGAATCGATGGATGAATGTGCGACGCTTCTTTCAAATGGTGGCTGCAGCGTGCAGTGGCAGGGTGTGCTGTATGCGCTGGAGAAGGAGATGCAGCACAGCGCGTGCAGAACGACGTTGCCGATCATCGTAGAATGACATGTGACATGACTTGAAGTTGATGGGTTGTGTTGGGTTGTCTTTGCGTTGGTGTTGGTTTATTGCTTGCACTTGGCGTCGTTCCAAACCCCGCAATACATGCATGCCGAAGACACATTCACTCATGCATACACAAGAAATAGCAAGCAAGTGCACATGCACACACACACACACGTGCTTTCGCTGTCAGCATTCGCACAAGTCATGTTGCAGTACATTGAAGTGTGTATTGTACTTCACCAGGCCCACTCACTGCCAAAGCAAGCCTGACAAGTGCCCACAACCACTCTGTCACTCTATCTACTGGTTGCAGTGTTCGCCCGTGCATGTTGAGGGGCAGTTTGCGAGCTCAACCCCTGCATCCACACACATGCATCCAGATATGGTGACACCAGTGCAATTCACAGAGGTGATGCTGGTTTGGAAGAGAAGAACGTCGCCGTCCACATTGGTGATCTGGCCAAACTGAAAAGAAGAGAGGGCGGGGTTGCGGGCAATGTACATATTCCCGCCCACGCTGACGATGTTGCCAAAGTCGACCGACGTGAGGACGTTGTATCGGAGGCTGAGGAAGCCGCCCACCATCGTCAGTGCGCCAAAGTCGATATCGACTGGCCCGTTGCTGTCGGCATGGATATAGCCACCCACGCGGGTGATGCGTTTGAAATCCAACAGAGTCAGGTCGTTGTTGTGCAACGACATGTCTCCACCGACGCTTGAGAGCAGGCCAAAGTCGATGAAAGTGAGGTCGTTCCTGGACAAGTTCACGTCGCCATCGATGGCTTGCATGACCCCAAACGAGAATGATGTGAGGCCTTGTCCTTCCACGTCGATGTTTCCAGCTTGATCAATGGACACAGCCACGCCAGGGTTTGCTGCCTGCAGCAAGGTACTGGCCATGACATTCTTCTCGCTTGCCACAGCAGCCAGCACAAGCTGCAACGTGTCTGCGAGTCGAGCGGTTTCCTGCAGCTGACTTTGCATTTGCTCCACATCGACCCCATTCACCAGCACACGAGGTTGGTGCTTGACATTATTGTTGCTGTTGCTGGCTGTGGTGGTGCTGATGTGCAGGGTGCCCCACTCGTCCTCCTCAATCACCGCTGCATGTGCGAACAGCGTATTGTTGCTGCTGCTGCTGTTGTGGTTGTTGTGGTTGGGGATGGTGGTGTACAGCATGCACAGCAGCGCAAGGAGGGCATTGAGTGTGCTGAGTGTGAGGCAAGCGAAAGAGGAAGGACATCGCCTCATGACTGTAGGACTGTGAGAGGAGGGGGAGACAGAGGGAGACAGATAGGTGACCTCGTTCTCTCTGCGAGGACCGGGGTCATGGGAAGATGAAGGGGGGAGATGGTAGGAATGAGGGATGGTGTGGGTGTGCTGTGCGGACCAAGCACAAACGAACGAACAAGCACAAACACAGCACAGCCAAACGCCTTCTTCTCTGCTTCACTTCTTCGTGCTGTCTGTGCAGAAGGATGATGTACGATTTCCATCACTTCTCCACACCCACACTCAGCACAACCAGCAAAGAAGCAGGCATCCAGCAAGCCAGCCAGCAAGCAAGGCAACAAGCAAGCAAGCCTGCCATCACCAGCCCGCGGTTCACAGTCATAATGATGATGATGGCTGCCCGCTTCCAACCCCTCCTGCTGTTGCTGGTGCTGGTCGTCGTTGCACGCGTGTGCGGGGAGGTGGTATTGGAGGAGGATAAGGAAGGTGCACTGCACATCAACACAAGCGATCCAGAGAAGGAACCCGTGTTTGTCAATGGCGCGGACATCGGGAAGATGTTCGAGGTGGTGCAGCAGCAGGCCAGCATGTTGGAGGAGCAGATGGGTGTCAACGATGAGCTGCAGCAGCGCGACGAACAGCAGCAGGAAGCCCTCTGTCGCCGGTTTCCGCCGTCAACAGACACGACCACCCTGGCGAACGTCGGCACAGGAGGCGCCGACTGGCTTGGTGGCGTGCTGGCAAACAACGGCCTCATCTACGGCATCCCACACCGCTCTGCTTCTGTGCTCATCATCGACCCGACGACCAATGTTGCCGACACAACGACCATCCCTGGCTTGGCCCCAGACGCGCGCAAATGGGGCGGTGGCGTGCTGGCACAAGATGGCCTCATATACGCCTTCCCATACGATGCCGAGTCTGTTCTGATCATCGACCCCATGAGCAACAGCGTGGACAATACTACTTTTAGCGTGCTCCCTTCTGGCACTGGTCAGTGGATCAGCGGCGTGGTGGCTGCTGACAACGGCTTGATCTATGGCATCCCGTGGCGTTCCTCATCTGTGTTGATCTTGGACCCATTCATGAAGACAACGGACACCACAACTATGGCTGGGTTTGCAAGTGGGTGCTGCCAGTGGTATGGCGGGGCGCAGGCGGCCAACGGCCTCATCTACTCCGTTCCACGCGACCCCCAATCCGTGCTCATCATCGACCCAGCCACCAACACGGCCGACACCACCTCCATCGTGGGGCTCGCAGGCGACGACAAGTGGCAGGGTGCCGTGCGTGCGAGAAATGGCCTCATCTACGGCATCCCTTTCAAGAGTACATCGGTGCTTGTCATTGATCCAGCCACCAACACCACAGACACGACCTCCATCGCCGGCCTTTCATCTGAGCACGGCAAGTGGCGTGGAGGGTTGCTGGCGCCAAATGGAAACATCATTGGCATTCCCGCCATGGAGTCAAGCGTGCTCATCGTGGACCCACGCACCAACACAACCAACTTGTTGGAATCATTTGCTGTGGACGCTGCTGTGGACGCTGGCACCAACAAGTGGTATGATGGTGTGCTTGCCAACAACAACGGCCTCATCTATGGCCTGCCAAGTGGTTCGATGTTGTGATGTGACTGGTCTGTGTGTGTGTAAGAGTGTTTGACTGGGACTTAGAGTAGGGTCTTGCTGTATACTGTGCGGGAGACGTAGTCGCAGGTAGTGCGGTTCATGTCTTCCTCCCCTTAGATCTGCTCTTCCTGCACAATGAGTCAATCGCACCACAGCACTCCGCTCGTGTGGTAGCGTGCTCAAATTAGTTGCACGTGCATGTCTGTGGGTGACAGAGCATGTCCTACAGACCCACCCTTTTTCGATTCCCTTTCAATGCTTGCTGCCACACGCCAACCTCTGGCCTCTCCACCGTGACGCTGTGACGTGTGCCGAAGAGAAATCACATCATCCACCAGCAAAGCAAGCAAACATCTATCACACACTCGTTCTGTCAATCTATGCTTGGTCGTTGGTTCAAGTAAACAAGTCAAATGTCATGAAGACTTGACTGACTCAACCGTTCTTATATCTTGCTTGCTTGCTTGCAAGCACACAAATGCAAACAGAATTGTTTTGCACTTTGGAAGAGTGGTGCCACGCCCTCCCACAGTGTCTCGCCAAACCATTTCTTTTGTCATTCAACGAACCCTTCCCCACCCCACCCCTCTCTCCCTCGCCCGCCACTTCACGCCAGCCAGAAACAACGAAGAACAACAGCAATGTGTGCTCTCCAACTTGCTTCGCCACGACCTTGGGTGGACTTGTATGCAGAGGTGCACAAACGCCCTACACCACAAGGAGGCGGCAGCAACATCTTGGACAATCTGCTTCTGAGGCATGGGCTGTATGAAGTGGGTGAGTCGAAAGATGTGGGTTCACTGTTTGGTGTGGCTGGCCCAGCCCTGGACAGCTGGATTGAGCGGAACCACAACAGAATCGTCGACGTTGGCGACATCAGGGCTTTGAGGGTGTTCAAGGGCACCAGCAATCCATGCATGGAAGCCGTGCGTCTGTTGGCGGTAGCGGCGGAACTGCAGAAGACCATCCACGTGTACTCGTACTTGGCCGACGTGCCGTTCATTGTCCGACCACCACCTGGATACCCTCCATCATCAGAAGTGACAAAGATCATCCACCGCACAGACGGGCACTTTGCCAAAGCCAAATCAGCCTGGCGGCGTGAAAAGATCCTGGTGCGAGCAACCTCAACGGTAGTGCCGTTTCGCTCTTGTGCCTCTTGTAGCCTTGCACGTCATCTCGGTGACCAGCGCGCCAGTTTGTTTGCTTGGCCATCTCACACCTTATTCCTTCATTCGCCCACGTGCTTGCGTGTTCTTGTTCTCCTTCAGGCCACACTCAAGAACTTTTTCCTTCGAGCTGGGAAGGGCAAAGTCATCATCAAAGGTGTTCTTGGAGCCCTTGGATTGACCCTTTTCATTGTCCTGACAGCATTGCTGCTCACATATGGCAGTCCCGGCACCTGTTCAGACATCAGACTCGAAAATACCAACGACACGATGGAGTACAGTGAGGCATACAAGAACTACGCGCACTGCCTTGCCACACGAAGCCGATCGCTGTCCGCCTTGAGCACAAACTTTGGAATTCTGGGAGTGGTTATGGCCATCATGTTATCCCTCATCCAACATCGAAGGGGCCACAGTCTCATCAGATCGGGATGGCTGCTGGCGTGCTGGGTTATCCTGTGTTGTGTTGTCATTACATTCACGGTCGCATGGAGCGTCGTGCTGAGAGTTGCGTTCCCGGAGTGCCCAGACGTACATCTATACCCCAGCAAGATGGACGCTGACTACATCGAGGATCTGGTGACTTGTCGAGAGGCTCGCACGGAGTTCTTTGCGACATTGGCCGATGGCATCACAGCAACAATCGCAATCTTTGCGGTGAGCGTGGCCTTGGACAATGGTGGTGCCGAGGACTGATGGAATACCTCTCGTGTCAACAACACAATCAACTCAGAGAGGCCGTTCGGGTCGATGCCTGTGATGTGTAGTTATGTACCATTGACTGTTTCATGCTCCCATCTCGTAGTGTGGTGTGGTTGTGGAGTTGGCGGTGCGGTCGAAGGTTGTTGAGCTGAACTGTTGTACTCGTCTGTGTCATCGACTGCATGCTTGATTCAGCAGGAGCTCACGACCCGTTCAAAATACCACAATAAACAACATGAACTCAGCTGACTCTTCCTTTGGTCACCATCAAACACTCAACAAAGACGGGTGAGTGAACACATCGACAGATCGCCGTGCCATCGAGCATGCGCTAAACAACACCCCAACAACAAACGATACGACACGCTATTCTTCTCTGCGAACCGCCAGCACACAGTCATTTGGTGCACCCCATCACGAACAGCCGAGCACGTAAATCTCATCCGCCCCCAGCTCCCTGTCTGCAAGCGCTGCGTACGCTGGGAGCGATACTGGTGGTACAGCAGTGCTCGCCGGTGGCGGTGGTGGTGGTGATGGTGGTGCGAATGATGACGACGACGATGACGACGATGAGGATGGTGATGATGCCACCAAGAAAAGCGAATACAAAAGGGCTGCCCCTGAACGTCTGTGGCCCTATCGCTGCAGCCGTATCGGACATGGGTGACGGTGGCGCCGTGTTAGGAAAGGAAGGTGGACAAGCCCTACTGCTGCCGCTGCTTCTGCTGCCATCACAGCTGTTGTTGCTGTCGTTGCCGTTGCTGCAGATGAGGTCGAGATTTTGGCGTCTGCACTGCAATCCCGCTGCAGCGGTGGCAATGTGCTTGTGATGATTGGTGTCATTGACAATGTCGGCATCATGGCATGCGTCAGGGACGGTGGTGCGGCTGGTCCGTGTACAGGCGCAGGCAATGCTGGTGGGAATGGGCCTGATGCCGCTCCCATATACTGGTTGCAGGAGTGGTTGCCGCGTTGTTCATTGTGGTGGCGCTATCGCGTGTGGTGTGGATGGATGCAACCCTCTCTGCCATGTCCTCTGCTTCGTGCACGAGTTCTTTCGCCTCCTCGACCACTTCAGCCACGCTCCCCTCCCCAGCCTGCTCTCCTGCGGTCGCCCACGCTGTATGACTGCGGGTGGTGGCAGCAATGTCCCATGTGTGCGTTTGTGTGCAAGTGCATGAGCGTGCGCATGCGTGTGATCGAGGAGGAATAAAAGTGATGAACAGGGACGTGACTGCAGCCGGCTTACATTGTGTGTGCATGGAGGTTGAGGCGTTGAGCAGGTGCTTGCATGAGAGTCGGGGAGGGGGCGTAGTTGTTGTGGCCGACGCTTCCTGATAGCAGCAAGGGGGTGGAAAAGGTGGTAGGATTGGATTCGAAGGCAGTGGTGGGTGGAAGCAGTCAGTAGAGTGAGTAGAGTGTATTGCATACACACTGTCTTTCTACACACACATTGCTGTTACCTTGCGCTGCCTGCTCCTTCTTCATGTGCAAACTCTCAAAGCAACAGCAGCACGCTGAACACGTTCAGCACGTGTGTCATCTTCTTGCACCGCCATGTGTGCGACACAGCGATCACGGTTCCATTGCCCACTGCATCGTGGAGTGGCTGCCACTGCTTGTGCAACAGATCAATAACACACGCGCAGCAGCTGTCCCTCTTCTATTGTTGTACCACAACAGCGAGCTGCTTGCTGGCTGGCTGGCTGGCGTGTACGCGAGGAAGGCCTTCCTTGTGATCGCATCCCCAGACCACCACAGTGTGCTTGCTTGTTTTCTTTCCTTTTTGCTTTCTGTCCTTTGCTTCTTGCTTGTTGGCGAAAAGTGGCGCTCGCATTGACAAAACGCACCACGCTGTTTGCTTCCTTCTTTTGCTTGCCATGTTGACAGAGAAGGAAAATCCTTGCATTTCTGGCAACACCTGCCACTCGATTTGGAAGCACTTTCCCTCCCTGCAGCAAGCAAGACAATATTTTTTATTGTGCCCTCACACACAAGCAAGACGATTGGTGGGTGTAATTGTCACTTTTCGTTCAGGCACCTTCAGCAGAAACAAACCACAACACAACAACAGCGATGGACGAAGTGGATGTGCGGACAGCAGTTGGGGCGGCTTTGACGGCCGTGGTGGGGGTGTCTCTTCTGTGGCTGATGTTTCTGTTGGGGCGCAGAAAGTCGCGTGAGCAGTTCCAGCACATCACCACCAACCACCCATCATCACTTCTTCTTGACAGTGTTGTGGCACTCACACAGACACAGGGCAGTCATGATACTGTGGATGAGGACGCGAGTGATGGTGAAGCAGTGCGGTGGAGGTGGTGGCAGCGGCAGGACAACCAGCTGGACGTGATGGAGCAGTTGATGCAAGAGGCAGGCTTGCAACATCACATCAAGGAACTCCTTCGATCTATCGCATGCGATGAACCTGCGAGAGATATAGAGTGTGTTGCAATGTGACTTGCCGGGTTTGCATCATCACCGTTGTGCACATGCAAGCAGTCCTGCATGACATCTCCTGCAAGCGGTCCAATCATGTAATCAATGTTGTAGCTCGTCTCTGGCCTCTTCCGCACCTTGCACGTTTGAGAACTGACTGGTTGCACCAAACGCCTATTTTGCAGGCTGATCGGAACGACATTGGGAACCAAAGGCGCACAAAGCTTGGCAATTGCATTCGACAGGAGAAACAACAAAAACATCGAGGTTCTGAGGTGAGCACGCCCACAGGCGTAAGTCTGTGATGTTGTGAGTGTTGCGATTCCAAGATATGACGCTTGCGATGTGTTTCCTGGACCATCTCCAGTGTGCAGTGTGTGGTTCGTGCCTGTAGTATTCATGTGCGCACACGCTTGCACGTCCGGACACACGGACATGGGCACACACACACACACACACACGCACACACACACGCACACACACACGCACGCACACACACGCACACCCACCCACCCACACACACGCACACACACACGCACACCCACCCACCCACACACACGCACACACGCACACACACACGCGCGCGCGCACACACACACACACACAAACACACACACACGCGCGCGCACACACACACACACACACACGCACACACACGCACACACACGCACACACACACACACACACACACACACACACACACACACACACACACACACACACACACACGGACACATGCGTTCCTGTCGTGTTCAGGTTGTACGATAACCTGATTGGATCTGAGGACTGCGTCCTGTTGGCTGACGCCTTGCAAGGATACACTGATCTACGAGAGCTGCAGTCAGTCAATTGAGTGCAGTGCATACGTCGCAGTCATCCCGAGTGTGATCATTGAGGGAACGAGGCATGCGACACGGTGATGGGCTTTCTTGTTGGGATTCTTTCCCTACCACCGGCCATTCTCCTTCTCACGCCTTCGTGTATATTGCCATTGGTGTCACTCTTTGCAGCATTGGGAACAACCCGATTGGACCTCAAGGCTGTCAAGCGTTGGCGACGGCTCTGCGTGGCCACTCAGAACTGCAGGAGCTTCTGTGGGTTTCACCCTGTGTGTCAGAATCATGCGTGGGTTATGCTTGTGATCTGACCTCCCTGCTTCTCTGGCGCCTTGCGTGTTGTTGTGGTGCATCACAAATTCCATCACAATCACCATGCTGACAGCTCGCATCTCATCATAGCCACATCTCGGCCGCCTCGCCTGCTTTTGTCTTGAATCCACGCGCATGTTCTCTCGACTTAGGCTGATCAACGTTGGCGTTCCTGCTGCCCACGCAGTTGGTGCAGGGTGGCCAGAAGCACGGGACGTGCAGTGGTACATGTGCGTTCACAGCTGCGGCGCTTCTTCATGCTCTGTCGTGTGTTGTACCTGCATTCCTCGCCCTTATGTGGATGAACTCAATTTTCTTTGGTCTGGGCTGGCACTTCTAGGTCGGAGGAACGAGAATTGACACGCGGCGTTGAACGGGAAGAGCAAGGTAAACCCTCACAAGTTGGTGTTGGTGTTTGTTTTGTTGAGCGGCCTTGTACACTGCTCTCATGAGCTCGTGACACGGTAAATACGTGAACGTCACTGTGTCCCCCTTGTGTGGGAAAGGAACTGGTCAGGCCTTGTCATGGTCTTCACATGCTGACGAGGACGCACATCCGATCGCTGCCTACACTTTCTGTTTCAGCTCTGCCTGGGGTGACTTGTTTTAATCGCCTCGGAAACTGTGTGCCACTCAGCAAACCTGCTTCTTCACCGCTCTTGTTTCATGTGCGCTGCTTCAGGCGACCAGCTCGCAGGACATGCAGGTGCTATGAGCACGAAGGAAGAAACAATCAGGCGGCTCCGTGAGTGCCGATACATGCTGCGAATTGCCTGTGCCCTCTGAGTGACCTCGAGTGACTCTGTGGCACCACTCACACGCCTGTGTTTCGTCTGCATTGCTTCAGGTGACCAGCTCGCAGAGCATGTAGATGCTATGAGAACGAAGGAAGAAACAATCACACAGCTCAGTGAGTGCCGATGCATGCTGCGAATTGCCTGTGCCCTCTGAGTGATCTCGCGTGACTCTGTGGCACCACTCACACGCCTGTGTTTCATGTGTGCTGCTTGGTTTGGAAGAACACCAAGTGTGGGAGAGCACGTAATAGCTTGCGCGAGCAACAGGCACTTTGTTTTGTCTCCTCTGCCAACATATTTGCCTGCCTGTGTTGTCCTTGTTCATAATTCTCTCACGCCTGGCTGTGTTTCCCTTCTTTTCGTAGAGTCCCTCTTCAATCTCGACCTGAATCCAGCCCGCTTCGAGGAGAAGAAACGCGCAAAAGACCACGAAGGCAAGCCCATCAAGGGCGCATTTGGCAAGCTATATCGCAGCACGTTTGCTGGGCACGACGTGGCGCTGAAGGAAGTTGACGATGTTGAAGAACGACCACGACTGCAGCACCTGCTGGAAGCAATGAGCGACACAGCAACTTCAACATCAACAGCGGCACAGTCGCGTGTACCTGACAAGCGTGTGCTGAGAGAGGTGGCCGTCCTTGCCTCACTTCGCCATCCAAACATCGTGTCTTTTCTCGGGCTGTGTCATGACAGCGATCGCAGCACGCTTGCCTTCGTGCTGAGCTGGGCAGAGAACGGGTCCCTGTACGACTACATCCACGTGCACAAGAAACACATCAGCAACGTCGAGAAGCTGCGCATCTTGAGCGAGGTGGCGGCTGCGATGGAGTTCCTGCACGCCCACGACGTCGTGCACCGCGACCTCAAGTCGCCCAACGTGCTGCTGGACGCATCGCTCTCCGCCAAGGTGGCGGATTTCGGCCTGAGCGCGTTCGTGCCAGAGAATGCGTCTGTGGTGTCGAAGGTGGTCGGCACACCGCTGTGGGCATCACCGGAGCAGTTGTTGGAGCAGCCATTGCGAGCTGACACGGACGTGTTCTCATTTGGCTGCATTATGTGGGAGGTGTGGTTTAACACCAAACCTTGGCACCACGGGGAGTACAGCGGGGAATGCATATCCGGACGAACGCTTGGCGACAAGTACAAGGCTCAGGAGTACCTGCCGCTTGATGTTGAGGAGGGGCGGAAAATGGAAGGCGCATTTAAGGCGCTGCTCCGTGGGTGCTTCCAGTCGAGCGGCAATCGTGTTGGGTTCTGTCAGTTGCACACGGCCCTGAAGGCGCAACACGACGCTGGCGACCGGCTTTCTTAAATTGGCGAGAAGAAACAGCAGGAGCTGCTTCACGGACCACCAGATGCGGTGTGGAAGTTTCCACAGCAGCTGCTGGCCGCGGTGCAAGCGACGGAGCTGTCGACGCGCCAATCCGTCCACATTGCACCACTTCAACCTGACGAGGACGCCGTCATTGAGGTTTGTGTTTGTGTGTGTGTGGGGGGGGGGTTGTCATGTGTCCTTCGTGTTCTTTGTGTTCTTTGTGTTCTTTGTATGCTTTGTGTGCTCGGTGTGCGTGCGTGCGCGTGCACGTGTCTTGCTTCTTCACAGTGCACTCAATGACCCCACCTCAGCTTGGTGCTGGCATCTTGCTCTTCGCCCTTCTCACTTTGGAATCCAACACACACACACACACACACACACACACACACACACACACACACACACACACACACACACACACACACACACACACACACACACACACGCACGCACGCACTTCCCACCCTGCAGCTCCTCCGCGCCGCTGGTGGCCGCACTGCTGCTGAGCCAAATCCGCTTTGCCCTTTCGGCCGCATGTTGTGTCGCGTCGCCATCACGTGGTGCGAGCAGAAGCTCGTCGCCTTCAACGGCGCCCTGCACCGCAACAACACCCGCTATCGTGGCCACCTCACCAGCGCCGGCCACCCGTTTGCGCCCAAATACGCCCACGACACGTTGACGGGCCAGGCAACAGATGCCGAGGAGCGGGCGGTGCTGGAGCGCGTCACCCGTTCTGGCCGTCCTGGCGTTTACAACGTGCTTGACACGTCGCGCCTGTACAACATGCTTGACGCGAACTGCGTGGACAAAGATCCGCCCATTCGCCTCCAGCGCGTGTTCCATGGTGTGAGATCCCTTGAGGCCGTTGTTGGCATCCTGGGCGGTGACTTTGCACAACTGCAGACCCAAGGTGCGAAGTTTGGTGCGGGCTGTTACTTCACGCCAGACCTTGACTACGCCCTCGCTTACACTTCGCGCTGCCGGCCCAGCCACTCTTCTCCACCTGAACTGCACTGCCTCAAGCTTGAGCCAGGCAAAGCCTACCGCGTTGTTCTGGCGTGCGATGTCATGTACGGCAACCCGTACCCCGTGACGCACAAGAGCCTTCACCTCACCCGACGACATGACCCGGAACGGAAATGGCGGTCATTCCGTGATCAGCCCCTCATCTCCAGACACGACGCTCACGTGGCAGTCATCGATTTCACCAGTGGCGACATTCGACATTCACAGCCGTTCCACCCACACACGCAGTGGGACCAGGGCGGCAATGTGCCGGCTGCGGAGATCGTAGTGACAGACCCTTCGTGCGTCCTTGTTCGAGCCGTCCTTGTGTTTGAGGCGTGAGTGTTTCGAGTCCGCGAATGTGTGCTTGAAGTCTTTGGGCGTGTGTATTGCTTCTGTGTGTGTGTGCGTGTGTGTGTATTGCTTCTGTGTGTGTGTGTGTGTCCGTGCTGTGATTTGTAGGTCATTGCTGTGCGTGCTTTGCATCCTGTCCGCCACTGAAGTTCGTTCATTTCCATCAGTCCTCGTCTGTTCTGCTTGTTTGTTTGTGTGGACACCATTCCCATCTCCACTGTCCCCGCATACGCTGTTTTTTCGGTGCCACCGCAATCTCTGTTCCATCCCGCCCCTCCCTTCACTTTGCTTCGTGATTCTTCTTCCGTCTTTGAGAATCCACTTCATCTCCATCGCATTTCGTTGACGCACGCGTTTCTTCCTCTTGTTCCCGTGTTTAGTTGTTTGTCGTCTCCATAGAATGTGTGGTGTTTGTTGTGTGGCGTGTTCTGTTTTACCTTGCTTGCCTGGTTTGATTAAACAATGAGTGAGAAGCGATGTCTCATCCCACCACCACGCCAGAACCACACAAAGTCCTGGTTCAGGATCATCGGACGGAACATGCGTGAGGTTGTCGTTGCGCACTGTTGCCTTGGCTTGAAAAGTCGTGCAAATCTTTCGCTTCACACACAAACACAAACAACAACCCACTGCAACAAAATGGCGGCGGCTGTCCTCCCACAGCTCCCACAGCTCCCACAGCTCCTCCTCCATGATGCTGCCGTTTTGTCGGCTGTGTTCTTCCTGGTTGTGTGCGCGTGCCTATCGCCACACCACCAACACCAAACAGGGCCAAGCTGGCGCAAGATGATAACGGTGCTGTGCACGTCAACTCGAGTGACCCAGCAACCCAGCCCGTGTTCCTTAATGGCGTCAACGTCGTTTCGGAGATGCAAACGCTGCGTGGAACCGTGGTGGCACAGCAGAGCATCTTGCAGGCGTACCAGTCAACGGTTCAAGCACAGCAGAGCATGATTGCCGCACAGAACAGCACGCTTCAATCCCAGCAGAGCATGATCGCCGCTCTTCGAGGCAGGGTGTGTGAGGCGACTGCCAGCACGTTTGGGCAACTCGGCTCCTCTTCATACAAGTGGCGTGGCGGCGTTTTGGCCAACAACGGCCTGATCTATGCGGCCCCGCACAACTCACCTTCCGTCCTCATCATCGACCCCAGGACCAACACGGTCGACACGTCCTCCATCTCCGGCTTTGGCACAGCCACATACAAGTGGGCGGGTGCCGTTTTGGCGCATGCAGGTCCCATCTACATGTTCCCGTCGAACAGCGCAAGCATGCTCATTATCAACCCCGACACCAATACGGCTGACACCACAAGCATCCACTCGCTTGGCACCAGTGCGCGCAAGTGGTACAGCGGTGTGGTGGCTGACAACGGACTCATCTTCGGCGTCCCTTATTTTGCCGCGTCTGTGCTCATCATTGATCCTGAGACCAACACAGCAGACACCACAACATTGGGCGGGCTGTCTTCGGATGCATTCAAGTGGTATGGCGGCGTTCAGGCGCCCAACGGTCTCATCTACTGCGTTCCCGTGACAGCTTCCTCTGTCCTCATCATCAATCCAGAGTCGCTGACGATGGATGTCACCACAATTCAAGGACTTGGCACAGGTGGCTACAAGTGGCATGGCGGTGTGCTTGCGCAAAATGGGCTCATCTACACCATCCCATACAGTTCCACGGCCACGCTCGTCATCAACCCGAACACCAACATCGCCGAGGAGCTGCCTGTCGCCCAGGTCTGCGGGTTCAGGAAAGCTGGCGGCGTGCTCGCACCCAACGGCGACATTGTCGGCATCCCCCTCGGCGCCCCATCGGCTCTCATCATCGATCCCACACGAACACAACAGACACAGCGACCAACGTGCACTATTGCCCCTCCCATCGGTGGCCGTCCTACGCTGCTAGCCCTGATGCCCTCACTCCTCTTGTTATAATTATATAATTTATCTCTGTATTTTTTCTTCTGTGTTTCTTTACGTGTCTTTTTTGATGTGTTTATTTATTGTAACCCTTTCCTTCTTTAGGGTCGAGAGGGTACCATTCAGGGGTACCAAAGGTGGGGGGGAGCGGGGGGTGGGGACCCAAACCAAATGCGGAGGTAGCTAGTCACCCGGAAAAGGTGACAGGTCCAGGGGTGGACGTTTTTTTCCACCTACACATATGCACACACACACACACACACACACACACACACACACACACACACACACACACACACACATATATATACGGAGCTTGCAGAGTAGTACAACAATACAATCAGACCACATGGCGGTCCAACGATGGCAAGGGAAGGCGAAGAGCACGTACACCATGTGCCCACATGAACAATCACGAAACATCAAGGGAGCAAATGACGCGATACAAAGGGAAATGACATCACAGACAGAACAGCAGCCAGACAACGTGCGTGGAGAGGACTGACGAAGACCAAACAGAAGAGGTGTGGGAATACCCAACTAGGGTGACAAAGGCGAAGAGACAGGAAAAGCAGCGTAACTGCTGTTCACAAACACACACACACACACTCACATACACACACACACACAAATCAACTTCAAAGTGGCAGCCGTGAAAGATCGTGCACGAGTATGGCCTCGTCGTCGGACTGAGAAACGAAATACAATCCATCGCATGTCATGCGTACAGTCAGCGGGAACCCACCAAGATGAAGTTCGCCGTTGTGACCAAACGACTGCAGGAAAACCTCCAGTGAGTCTGCGTGCAGCAGCTGAAACCCGCCATAGCTTGGTACAACAATGTACTTCTTGCTGGGGTGTAGCGCAATCCAGTCCGCGCCGACCTCCATCCATGTCGGGCCCACTGAAGTGGTACGAACCAACGCTCCCGCCAGGGTCCAGCATCCCAACTGGCTGAAGGTAGTGTCGTAAGAGGCAAGTAGCCTTTGTTGTGGTAACCACAACAGCTCGAAGCCATGTAGCTCGCCTCCCATTCGCCTGATTGGGGACGCTCCGTTGTTCAGCTTCCATAGTTGAATGCCAGTGTCTGTTGCAGATGTTGCCAGCACGATAACACCTTGATCATCAGTGCACATCGCCACGCTGTACACGGGACCATTGTGGCCCGTAAACACCTGAACAACTGTCGCCCCAACAATGATGCCTTCATTGTCTGCGTTCAGTTGCCAGAGCCTTGCCGTTTGGTCCTCCGAGCCAGTGACGAATTGGCGCACACGTGGGTACTGAGGGTGCCACACGCAACAGGTGATTGTGTCTGTGTGCTGCTGCTTGTTGTCTTCCTCGGGTTCGGGGCCATGCACTTGCTTGCAGTCAGGTAATGCCAGCACGTGGAGGTCACATCCGTCAATCACCACGCATGCATCGCTCGACGGTGAGAAGAACACTTTGCAGGGACCGGTGGACCTGCGACGAGTAATAACGTCCCGATGCACTCGTCCAGCGACCGTGTCGACAGCCATAAAGACTGCTGTCGAGTGAAGAACGACGACACGCCCATCATGACTACCGCTCATCTCGTCAATGGTGAAGAGGCTGCCCTTGGGCAGGTCAATAGTCTTGACCAAAGTCATCGTTGTTGCATCGTGAAACTCAAGCGTACGCTTGTCACGCGACGCAATGAATACCATGGCCTTCTGCCGCTGCTGTCGTTGGAGTTGCTCCGGGTCAGCCATGATCGCAATCACTGGCGGCGGCGGTGGGCGCTGTTGGTGTAAGTGCTCGTGGACAGTCTTGCTTTGCTTGATCTGCTTCCAATCAAACACAGAGACCAAGGTATCCAGGCCAGGCCCTCCGACAGCCAAGAACGTCTCATCTGGAGAAAGCGCAACAAGGCCTGTGGGCGCAGGTCCAACGGAGCGCAGCCCCGTCATCGTGTCCACGTCATACACCTCTGTGTACCTCCCAGAATCGCTCGCCAACACCACAATGGTTCCATCAGCACTCAAACTCATTGTGTTGCTGCGCGTGCTGTTCACCTTTCCCACACTCGTTCCATCGGCTCTCAGCTTGTACAGACTCGAGCCGCAACCTGCGACAACATCGAGACCCCCAGGCAACAAGCATAACGCTGTCACGCCCAAGCCCCACGTGCGTTCCATGTCATAGCGTGCAACCTGCACCAGTGCTGCCCGGTCCTCTACTGCGGTGGATTGCCTCCACTGCTGAGCCGGAGCTGGCACTCCTTGCAGCTCAAACCAGATGACGCTGCCGCTCTTCGTGCCTGAGACCAGCGTGTTGTCGCGGATCTGCCCACAATTTAGCGCCTCCTGTACCGTACACTTCCACATGCACTGGCTGAAGTCCGCGCTGAACAGCATGACATGCGTTGAAACTTGGATATCGTCACCAGGACTGCCATCAGCACCACCACCATCCGCTGCGGACGTTGCAGCGCCCTTTGAGGTCGCCACTGCGCTGCCAATCACCATCACCAATGCGTCATCGTCAGTCATCCGCAGCACCCGGCACTTCTCCGACTCAGGGTCAAACACATTCATAGAACCCGTGAGCTCATGCGTGTCCAGGTTCCACACATACACCATGCCATCCTCGCAGGCAACTGCCACCAGGCCGTTTGGTAGATGAACGATGCGAGTTGCCTTTGCGTTGTCATTGGGCCTGCGCAACCTCACCACACGCTTACCGGTGCGTGCTTCCCACACGTACACATCTCCAAGCCCGTGACACCCGCACACCCAACGGCTGTCTCGAGTGAAGATAATATCTTCAAAGCCCGTTAAGCTCGCCCCAGCCGAGCACACACAAACCAGTGGGTTGAGCTCCTGGGGTTTGTTGTATTGTTGCACTCGTGGTAGGCGGCAACCTGGCGTGGACAACAGAGTTTCTGCCGCCTTGAACACCGCTGTCTGGTCTGGATACAGCGAGGCGCGTGCGATGACTGCACCAGGTGTACGCTCGAAGATGTTGGCGTTGCGAGCCACAAACCGCGTCCAGATGTTGAAACTGTGTTTCTTGAGCAGGCTCTCCAGTGCGCCACCTTGAC